CATCTAAATCAAAGAAATATCCAAAGGGAAGACAAAAAATTTAAATGGTTAAGTGTTGAAGTGATGGTCAGATGTTTTGAGTAGCTCCTTGAGGACAAACCTGATGTAATAGTATTAGATAAGTAGATAATGATGATAATAATCTGTTTATGTCTTTTGATGTAACAAGTACCCTTAATCTATAACACACTTCTAGTATCAAATTAATGTCCCCCAGCCCCTTTATTTGAATGTGACTACCTTTAAGGAAGGTGTCACTCCATATAAAGGTGACATTTTGATAGATTACGTTTATGTAATGATTTCCCACCTGTTTTAATGATTCAGATAAATCTACTCTATAATGTATCATATTAACATCCCTTCAACCTTCTGGTTCAGGTACCATTAACTTCTTAATTATACCCCTTCTCTAGGAGTAAGAATAAGAATATTTATTGAATCCAATTAAAGGGCCCGTTTCCGAGCATATACATATATATATAGTATTAATTATACAGTAATTTTTTAGATATATTACCTTAAAAATAAATGATTAAATAACTATACTCCATACCAGATGGTTGTTTGAAAATAAATAAAATAGAATATTAACCCTCTCTAATACATAAAAATAAATAAACTACTGTAACATCACTACTACATGTATATTTAGTTAGTTACCGGAATGCAAATTTAGGAGTTTAGGCTATATTGTAATCATCTTCACTGTCTGTCTGTTAGTTCTGTCACGAAATAGAAGTTCCTTCATAATATTAGTTCCAAATGGAAAAAATATTCTGGAATATTATTTCCACTGGAATAAATATTACAGTATATGTTCCTAACGGAATAAATGGTATAGAATATTTGTTCCATCACACTTTTCTCAGGAACTACGGAAGAGAATGACTTCCATACATAAAACTTGTGTGGACTTTTCAAAATTGTCTGACACCTTCTTCCTGTTTTCCAATACTTTCCAATAACTAGTGGAAGTATGCTTAGTATTAAAACTCTTGCATTATTGTTGGTTTATCTTTACTTCTGCCATGTTTAAACTTATGTCAGATTTGTAATTTTGGATTGGCTTGATGAATATTTAATGGGAGGGTCTTAATATGGGCAATTAATTTATATATTTATATTCTTGTGTACAGAATACTTACTTGTAATACATTTCGATAGAATATATGTATTGGACATTCTCCATAGTGAAAGTTTTGTAATATTCAAGGAATATTTGTATTGTATTTTTTTACATGTCAACATCAATGATTGATTTTATTGTTGCAAATTGAATTTCGTGACTGTAATATCTGATATTAATGTCAGTAAGTTTTAAAATAACTGTTACAGACATTAGTTATCCCTATATAAATGCAATTGCTAAATCAATATAAGAATAAGGAGAGTTCTGACTGCCTATGAGACAACTATTCAGAGACATAAACTACTAAAGGGCACTGTACAGACTTCAACAATGAGCAAACTCATACCGTATCATATCGTCAGCTTTTAAATGGCTCCAATAGAATGTGAAATAATTCAAAAGAGAATACCAATGCCCTTATGACAAAACAATTTACAAAAACAAAATATGTCAGACAGTAACAAATGACAACCTGGCTCCTAACTTTAGACAGGCGCTTAAAGAATTTGTCATGGTTAAACATGTTTGTGAGCCTGTTAAACAATTTTTTTTATAAACTTAAATGTCATCTGGGAATCACAGAGCATTCTTCCATCATGTAAATGGCTCAACAGAATTCAACCAAATTTACACGAGATTCTTCTATAGTGTCGACAACAGCTTGTTAAATAACTTTTTAAAAAGTAGAATACGATTCCACAACCCTCAAAATATAAGATGTTTTTCAAGTTAAATTGCTATTACACATGTTATGAGATAAGAATTTTGACTGCTTATGAAAAGTATAACCACACACAAATAATTAAATTTATCAAGAGAGAAACAAATTCTCACATTACATTTCATTGACAGAAAAGGTCAACAGTAATGGTATAATCAGCTATTTTTATCAAACAGATGTTAAAAAGGTCTCAGAAAAAATGTAAACATGATGTTACTGGTATCAAATATTTGTCACCTATTTTGTGATGCAAACAATTCCACAGATCAGTAATGAAACATTTTGAAAGGACCCAGTGAAACACCATATCGAAAAATACTTTTAAAAATACTTTGTAAAGATGACATATTCTGTTCTGTGCTTTATAATAATGGAGATTTACTAGATATACCATGAATTTGTTTAATCTGATCTGTCTTTCTGCAGCAATACATAGTGATTTTTTCTTTCCTTTTGCATCTTCTTCTGCTTTGTTTGTGTCACACTTTTTTTAATTTGATACTTCTTGAGAATGGCTTGACAGAATTCCAGGAAACTTGTACAGACTCATCGATAGTGTCAAAATGTGCTTTTGCACCTGCTATTTTGATTATTTATCTGACTGATTTTTGTGGTTTCCAAAACCAAAACAAGGTCTTGCATAGTCACATCTGCTGATACTGGCTTGTTAATCCGCAATTGTTTGAAAATAGCACAAACAGAGTTCCACTTAACTTTCACATATCCTTCTACAGGACATGAAGATGTCCTGGTGATATTTTAATTTTCCATCTGACATTATTTGCAGTTAATATTGAGATAAACTCTGGAGTTAAAATATTTTAGACATCAATGAATTTCAAATCTTTATGGCATTTTATGGAAATTGGACATAAGCCTCTTCATGATTAAGAGATAACACACTGAGCAATTTAATTTTAAGTGTACATTTTTCTGTATTTTGCTGATAAATGGACTTGGTTTTTGACAGTCAACATTACACTTTTATACTAACAGTGACAATTGCAGGCAAGATGCCAGGTTTCGTGGAACCCTTTACATATTATTTATTATGTAATATTCTGAGTACTTATTTTCATTCCAGTGTTTGAAGAGATAAAATAGTTTAGGTCAAGAACCCATAAATGGGCAAGGCATCAGAATTTTTGTATGCTTTTTGCATTTAGAGATTATAACTGAAAATAGAAAAAGAATAATGCATCTAACTGATTTTACTTGTACATATGCACTGCATAGGGCTAGATACTTGTAAAATGCCCAGAAAAGTTTTTAGGAATTGTTGATCTGTTTTGTAAAATGATACAGCTCAAGGGACCTCTTGTTTTGTGAAAAATCCTAGTTAAGGAAAAAGAAATTGAAGGTGCCTTCTGAAGTTTAAAACTTTCCTGTTTTTCATGCTACATTGTGTTATTTTACTCAAAAGTATGAAAGATGAAATATCAAAGGATGTCTATGTAGATGTCAACATCCTTTGAACAGATTGAACAACCCACTCTATTTGATATGCAAGTATTTATTACAGTTAATTTAACTTTATAAATTCCCAATGACATGTTTAAAATAAGATCCTGTAATTATATTAGGACTAATCTACATTAATTAATTTCTGCCTAAGTGAGATTTGAATTTTCTATAAATCAATTTTCCCAGGATTAGGGTTTTCGTCTGTTGTGTGGATTAACATATAGTATGTATATTTGATGCATCAGCATGTGCATATTTGTCCCATAACACTCTAATGATGACCTTAAACACATAATTACATTGTCCTATTGTATGGAGGTCACCGAGAGCAAGGCTATTTGGCTTTAATGGAAAAATGTATTATCATGAATTATAATAAATTTGTGAAATTTTCTACATGTGATGTTAGATATGAGGTCTAGAATTACGCCTCATTTCATGTTAAACATTACATACCATGGTATTAACAAATCTGCCAGAAAATACCATTGTAAACTTTTACAGACTTCATTGTTGCTAGGATAAAGTTGATGTTTTGCACATAATATAAATGTATTTTTGAGCTCCTCATTATAGAAATGCATTATTATTATCTCTGCTGATGCAGTGGAATTTAGGGCAAATGAAACATGTATAAATTTTCATTGTGCTATGTTGTTATTGCTGATATTAAATACATATTTTGTGGTTTGAAATCTTTAAATCAAAATATCAACCAGTTCATGAGTGCTGACACCTGTTCATATTTTTGTTTCTTTATTTTAAGAACTACACTACTGTTCTTTCCAAGAAGTCACAAGTTAAAAAAATGGACCACCCACTTCTATATATATATATATATATAATGATGTTTTGTTTCAAATTCAGCCAAATTATTTATTTTTCATTATTTCCCTTTTATTATAGTAAAAAAATAGTTTGTAATTTCCGGACAAACATATTTTGTTGTAAATATGTAACTGATTATGCACTGTATTCCCCTTTTGACTGACTTTTAATATATATTTACATTATTATTTTTTTCAATAAAACTTGATACAATCTAATAACTTCATAGTTTATTAAGATTGTGTCAAATATCAATGACGAGTCATTAAAAATTGATAATGGAAACTTGAACCCAGGCATAGGACACTTTTTATAGGATTGCCACCCTTTTAAAATTTAGATGTCTTTAAATTTGGCTCGTTATTGTGTTTCCCTCATGGTTTTAGAATATAACCTTAAAACAGTCTCAAAAGCAGTCATTTGGTCCAGACAATATTTAAATTTTTGGTCCATTTTTACAAAGTCAAATTTAAAGTTGGACATTTAACTGCTGTTTACATTGACAATCATTCATAATTGTTAGTAATTATTTAATAAATGAAAAATGAGTAAGGAAAAATACAATATAATAGTATGAAAGATAAATAGTTTCAGGACTTGAATTTTAACCTTACTATATATATTTGCATAAACATGTTATATATTAAAAATATACTATCATGACTATTGTATGTGAATAAGTAAGCTTTAAAGTTGTTTCGAGCATTTGTAAGATTCCTAATCATAAAAAGAATCTTTTTGGATTCCTGCAATCAGAATTTCAGAAAATTGATTAATATGAATACAAAATTGCATTTTTTAAATAATTTTAATACTTATAAAACAGACTGATCAGTGTATTATATTTTTTTACAGGAAAGGGAAGTGAGTACAGAAAATCAAATTTAATTCTCAAGAGGATATTACTTATGTATATAGATATATAAAGATATATATAAAAAAATATATAATATTGAGGACAAGGATATAGATATTAATCATGTTTTGAAGTATGAGGAAGACACGACTTCCATTGGATATACTATGATGACATAGGTAAGTAGAACATTATATCTTATTAGAAAATCCAGATTGTGGTCAATTAGTAATGTGTGGGAGGAGATGTAAATATGGTTGTGAAAAAAAGGGGGGGGGGGGGGTCAGTTTATTAGGGCCCCGCCAAATGGCGGGTCGCCCTACAGTGATCAGTCTGTCCGTCCGTCCGTAACAAACTGTGTCCGCTCTATATCTAGAGAACCGTTATTATTTTATACTTTATACTTGACATGTATATTAACCAACACCAGAGGGTGTGTCATGATGTTTGTACAATTTCCTAGGTCAAAGGTCAAGGTCAAAAACTTTGATTTCAGTTGACAACCCCATGTCCTATGGTAAAGATTGTGTCCGCTCTTTATCTTGAGAACCATTATGATTTCAAAGTTTATACTTGACATGTATGTTAACCAACACGAGAGGGTGTGTCATAATGTATGTACAACTTCCTAGGTCTAAGGTCAAGATCAAAAACTTCGGTTTCAGTTGACAACCCTATGTCCTATGGTAAAGATCGTGTCCGCTCTATATCTTGAGAACTGTTATGATTTCAAAGTTTATACTTGACCTGTATATTAACCAACACGAGAGGGTGTGTCATAATGTATGTACAACTTCCTAGGTCAAAGGTCAAGGTCAAAAACTTTGGTTTCAGTTGACAACCCTATGTCCTATGGTAAAGATCGTGTCTGTTCTATATCTTGAGAACTGTTATGATTTCAAAGTTTATACTTGACATGTATATTAACCAACACCAGAGGGTGTGTCATAATGTATGTACAACTTCCTAGGTCAAAGGTCAAGGTCAAAAACTTTGGTTTCAGTTGACAACCCTATGTCCTATGGTAAAGATCGTGTCCGTTCTTTATCTTGAGAACTGTTATGATTTCAAAGTTTATACTTGACATGTATATTAACCATCATCAGAGGGTGTGTCTTAATGTATGTACAACTTCTTAGGTCAAAGGTTAAGGTCAAAAACTTTGGTTTCATTTGACAACCTCATGTCCTATGGTAAAGATACAAAATTTTACCACACATTATTCACAGTGAGGCCCACAGAGATGGCTCCCATCTGAATGATGTCTAGTTATTTTATAGAAATAAAATGCCTTTTAGTTGCCTGAGAAAGAAAGAATCGTAAATCAAAATATTTTGTGATATTTAGATGTACAACTAGTCCTCCATTTAAAAACATCTATATGTAAAAGTCAAAGTCAGTTGTTGTAGCAAGATTGATTATCAAGAAATACAGGCAATACAGAACATATATGATGATGGATAGTTTTTTTAAATCTTTGTCAAATTTCAAAAGCAAAAGGAATAAAGAAGATGTATTAATAAATAAAAATGGCCAAATGACAAAAATACCATATTTAATGTAGTGTTGAAAAATAAAGCAAATAACCTGGATGTTATAAAAAAAAATTTTGGAAATCGAGCAGTCAAGAATTTTATTTAGAAATCAAAGCCTATTCCAATACACCACCTCTGGTCTGTGGGCTAACACATGTCATGCACTATGGTCTAGTCTTCAATGTGATGAAACACATAGCTAGTTTGATGGGTGACCTCATAGATGTGTATCTAGCAAAATAAAAATCTAGAGAAGTGATATGATTGCCATTGAGACAACTACCTATAGACCAAAGGACAAAGTCTTTTTTTATTCATTTCCCCTCTTTGAGGTAGTATGATTTTAGGGCCATATTTGATCATGGAGCAAACTACTATACTAAGGTAGTAAATGATATAAATAAACTTAACAGAAGTATTTTATTGGACATTGAGATTTTAGTATTATGGAATTTTGACATTTATGTTGGCCAAAATTAAGCTCATTTATACACACAGAATTCTTCAAACATGCTCAAATTTCTGTTTGAGTGGTGTTTTAATTTTATTTTATATTAATTTTTGGGATAATGTCATTTTTTATGAATAATCATACAAGAGGTTGATTTTTTTGGGGCATATTGCATATTTTTAGTAGAGAACACCTGAGTCCATAAACTGTAGCAGTTATATTAACCAGGTGTTATAATCTTCTTTCCACATTTAATAATTTTAAAATCATTGAAATTTTATGTTACTTTTACTGGGTCGTAAAATTGTTCAGCATATAAAATTTTAAAACTAAATATTAATAAATAATTATTTACATACTCTTAGTTAAATATTCATTAAATATGAGTAAATTTCACTTGTATAATGAATGTTGTTGAGTGACATTTTTTGTGGAGCCAACATATGATTTTCATTCAAACAATACTTACATTTATGTATACATATAAACTTTCATTATCATCTTAGTTTTGTATGGTTTATCATTTCAATTTTTTTACCAACTTTTAACAAAAATATGACAGTGAAATGATTTAAGAGGTAGATTTCAGATTACTGACACAATTTCACTAAAAATTGCACTCAACTAAACCGAATTCATTTACAAACTTGTCATCATATTTCAAAAAATATTATAAGATTATGAGAATTTTGCATGCAACAGTAGAGTTAGAACCAACTATGGGGTAATCTAACACACCCTTGTGGTATTTAATTATGGACTTGTTTTTAAACTTTGGCACTTATTGCCCTACAGGTGAGAAATTACATCACTTTAAACAGCTAATAATCATTTTGAGACTATACTTGTCAGATTTTTATCTACTTCCAATAAGATTTACTGAAATTTACAACATTAAATTTTCATGAAATATGGATTTTAATAATTTTCCTGATAAAAATTTAGAAATTCTGTGTTTTCTTTTCTGTAAACTCTTGTCAACCTTGACAGTTTCTTATAATGATATCAACAGCTATCATTTGAAAACCAAATGAAAAATTATGGGATATATATGTCTTTCACCTTTGAACCTTGGTTCCTGCTCTGATGTAAGACCTACTTTTCAGAACATAATTTTTGGCATCTTGTATTTTTTCATTGGCAAATGTATTTTTGGTGTGATGAGAAATATTTGATAACCTATGTATGGTTCTTTGACCTTGGGATGCAAGTTACTGTGACATTCATAGTCTGTCTTAACAGTCATACCAGTCATAGTGTTGGATGTGAGGTACTGGTACTTGTGTCTAAGACTTACTCTCCAAAGTTTGAAGTGATTGTTTCTATAATTACTAATGTCAAATGTCATGTAAGTGTTGACGTATACAGGAAGTGCAAGGTACTTGGTACTTAGTTAAAATTAGAAAGAATGGCATTTTTCTTATGACAGGAAGAACAAAAAGTATGGAAGCAAGTCTTCTTTTAAAATTTATGTATAGACAGAGTGCACTTGATTTGATCTTTATCTGGTGATAAAACGGTTCCTGTGGTGTCGGGATATAATTGTCGGTCACAATCTTCCTGACTAATTAAGGAATATTGTATATTGTTACAGAGGAACTAAGTACTTTCTATCTGCCATCTTGTCTCTTATGGTATGATACATGTACATGTATTGTCTGTAGACAATATTATTTCATTCTTCTTAACTCACTTGACCTTTTTTCCATGAATGACAACTTTTTCATGCGTAGGAAATGGGAAATGTGTAGGACATTTCATGTTTAACACATTACGATGGGAGAAAATTAGATATTCTATGCAAAGACTTAACTTGCTAAGGTATGTTGATTAATGTACACGTGTGCATGATGACATAGAAAATTATTGTTTTAATTTATAAGCTGTTCATTAAGTGCTTGTGGTTGGTATGTCCTACTGAAGGTGCAGAATTCCTAAGTGTGTTTTTGTTTTTTTTATACAGTGAAATAAGGTTATTAGTTTTCATCATACATTTCTAATCAATTTTCCAGAATTCAAAATTATTCCAGATTCAAATAATTCCTTGTTTAATAAGTTATTTTTGTTTATAATATAAAAATAAGGAGATGTGGTATGCTTGCCACCAAAGTTTAAATATAGTGGATGTAAGCAATTATAGTCAACTGTACGGCCTTCAACAATGAGAAAAACCCATACCATATGGTTGGTTATAAATGTACATTTTATAAGCAAAATTGCAATAGTTTTATTTTGATTTGATACAACTACTTGGTGAACTCTGAGTGGCAGAGGCTATCATCCACATGGTAGTCAGTTGTTCTCCTTTGGCATGCATTGCTGAAGATTTACAGCTTTGTAAGCTTCCGCAGTTAAAATAAACTATGTTGTAAACTCCTTTAAACACCGATGTATGTAAATTGTTTTTGGATATTTGTCGACTGTTTTGGTTGTACAGCTCCCCCTGTATTTGTCCAACTATGGCTGTCAAAACTTTTTAAAAAGTTTTTTTTAGCAGTCCTTGTGAATTTTAATACAGAAATGTGCATACTTCAGCAAAATTAAGAACATTCTAATTTTAATTTGAAATGAACCAAACAAACATGATATATAGAATTAATTTTGTGTAAACCCATTAGGTACTTTAACATCCTTGGCTTTCAAATCTTTAAGTTATACATGTTTTTGATGAAAGTAAATCTATAAAAGTGATTTGTATGCAGTAAATTTATTATGTGTTATTTAAGTTTGCAGCATTTTATTCTGTAAGTTTGCTTGTTGATTTTCTGTTCTGCTTTAATTTTGTATTATAATAGAAAAAAAAAACATATATATAGTCCATATGGGTCAGTCCATTCACACAGTGCTTTAGTGGTATAGCAGGGAAAACATATAATAAACTTTTAATATGCATTGTTTTGACATGCTGAAACTTTTGGTATTTTAGTAATTTGTACTCTGAAATGAGAAACATCTAATGATGATTTAAATAAAAGAAAGTTTATGTTCTAAAACACGATTGCTTAAAGATTAATTTTCATCATTCCAGGTTAAACAAGACAGAAAAAGAAAGATAATTTAGAAAAGATCAGTAACGATGGCACCAAAGATATTCCAAGAATTCTCCAATTGGAAGCTGAATCTGTACCTAGCTCTACTACTCACTTTAGAGACGGTTCTTACTTATGATCTCAGGGATAGCATAGCTTGTGCTTCATTTTATAAAGATGGTAAGTAAGGATTACCTGATCTCAGGGATAGCATAGCTTGTGCTTCATTTTATAAAGATGGTAAGTAAGGATTACCTGATCTCAGGGATAGCATAGCTTGTGCTTCCTTTTCCAAAAAGGATCAGTAAGGGTTATCTGATCTCTAGGACATAATATAGATAAAAACACTAGCAATTTTGATATACTGGGTATATATGAATTAAATTTAAAGCAGAAAGATTTTGTTGAAGGAATAAAATAAGTTATATATTTTTTTGGGGTTAAACATTGAATATTTACCATGAACATTTATCTTGATAGGAAATACAGGTGGCTTTCCATTCAATGATTACTAACATGTATATCTGTCATGATTGATTTGATTTGATGTTTTCAAAATGTAAATCATCATGAAAAATCTATTATTATATCTTAAAAGGTATGCCTTAAAACAGGTGTCTTGAGGAACAGGTTTACCATGTTTACTGATTGACTGAAATTTTGTATTTTGATAATTTGATATAATCTTGTAAAAGCAGAAAAAAAAAGACTTATTGATGTCTTAATTCTAATTAAATACTTGCTGAGCAAAGCATATTAACCCAAGTGCATACTGTTGAGTTTGAATGTGAACTTAATTATATCATGTTGGCTTCTTGAAAGATAAGAATCACCAGAAGCATGGCTATTTCTAAAGAAAAAAAAATTCTAACAAATGTAATGGCAGAAAACAGTCACCACACACAACCTCATGTTTCTTTGTTGGACTTCATGATTGGCTGAAAGGTTAGATTGTCTCTTTTAAAACATAGTTAATTGTCAGAATTAAGTAACCTGGTATGGTATCAGGCCCATAGCCAGGAATGTCTCTGTTGGGGGTTGTTTGGAGGGTCATCAAGCTTTAATACTGTGGATTTATTATTTTTCAATACCATTATATCAATTCCAATTTTTCGTGGATATCATGGGTATAACCGTATAGGTGAACCATGAACAAAGTACATATTTGTATAGGCTTGTATGCAGACTTTGGCGACACCACAATATCAAATATCCATGAAAATACAATTTTTCCTTAATCCAAGAAAAATTGGTACTCACAAATATAAATGTATCCCCAGTAGTCGAACTTTTGAATCTCTACTTTAATAGTCTTGTAGTATGGCTTTGCTCATTGACCTATAGTTGTTCATTTCTGTGTCATTTGGTCTCTTGTGAAGAGTTGTCTCATTGGCAATCATACCACATCTTCTTTTTTATATTTACTATTATTCTTTGCTTTCAGAGGGGGGTTAGTCCTTCGAATTCCGCTCTGCTAGGTGTATGTCATTACTAATTGAACTTTGTCACAGTCATCTGTGAAATGGTTATCTCTAAAATCATCCTGTATTTCAGATGTTACATGTAACTTAGAAGACTGCTTATAAGCCATGGGGGTTTAGGTTTTCTGAGTTGCTTTGCAATCTAGATTGAGTTAAGTTATACAAGAAATTTATTTTGTTAGCAATTTGTTGACGGTTAAAAAAAATAATGAAAATATTGTGTGTCTGTATTTTTTAGTGATAGTATTCTTTGATGTTCTGATTAGAAATTATGTAACAGTGTTCCCAGGGGGAAAAAACTTCTAATAGCGCAAACAGTTTTATCCACTTCTGATGACATGAAGTGCAGACACAGTTAACACGATGTTTAGTTATTGGCAAAATGCATTATAATAACAGTAACGATTTGACTAAAGTGAAGTCATGGGGGTTTTCTCAGGATGAAATGTTTTTTTTAATTTGTAAGTATGAAATATGCTTGTGAACTCTGAAGACTATTTACTGTGACAGTGTTATCCAATAAGACTTTATCCTTGCTGATAATGATGAAATGATACTATAAAAAATGCCATGAAATGAGGTATTCTGATGCAATTTTTAGAATCTGACATTGTTAGCATTCTATGTCAATGTTAGCAAAATAGTTTTAGCAATCATTGCACTGTTTATCCTGACTGTCAAGGGGATATGAGTTAAAGCTAAAGGACCTAGATACCAACTTTTGGGTTCAGCAAAATTATTTTACTTGGGAAATTGTCAGGCTCTTTCTAATATATTTATACAGGTATATAAAAAGATTGATATTTTGAATAACAAAAATTTAGCAATTTTTATTTTTTTCCATGATGAACAATTTAAGATAGAAAATAAATTGGTTAAGAATGATTGTATGAGAATTCAAGTAACATATTGTTTCTTGTTTTAAAACATTTCTAGTGCGCCTTAGATCACCCCTGTTATTGTTGCGGCTTGTATTGCTCAGTCTTTAAATTTCTATGTTGTGTTTTGCAGACATTTTTGTCTTTTTGGTCTACTTTTGTAAATGTCATCTCTGAACTAAAATGTCTGCCATTATATGGTACAAGGTATAACATCAATCATGACAGACACAACAGACACGGCTTTATAGGTCTGCACAATTATTTACATATTTGTCTGCATTTTTCTTGAAATTGACATTATTGGTGTTAATCTGAGCTTTGATGTTCCATATTACATGCAGATAAAGATAGATTATATCAAGTTATTATATTTAATACTACTGGAGAAAATGTTTTTGTAACATAAAATCTGTCTTCAATTAACATATATGCTACTTCATATTATATAATACATGCTTTTGTCATGAAGACACATTTTTGTCACAAGCCAAGAGAATTGCGTCATATTATAAGACAGTTGCCATAGATAGCATGAATAATTGGCATATTCAAATAGGATCATGACTTTTTTGCAGCCTATGATTACTATGACTGATCTTTATACACAAGTAAATTGTGCAACAGAAATAAAGCATGTAATGTTGTAGGTGGATGCAATTTTCTTTGAAACTTTGCCAACAAGTCTCAGAATCTTATAAACTGCATTATGTTTCATTTTGTTCACGCAAATAAAAAAAAAATCAAAATCAAGTACAGTGAAACCTGGTTTAAGAGACCACTTAAATGAGATCAAAAAGTGGTCTCATAAGACCAGTTGGTTGTTCAAAACAGGTTCAGTGAAAATTATGCACTACTGAGGCACCTAAAATTAATGATCTTATAACAGGTTTTTGCTTAATAAAGGTGGTTTCTTAAGCAGTTTTGAGTGTAGTTCATTGATGGAAAGTTCATTTCTATTCTAAATTTAGGCAAGACTTCTATTCTAATGCAGAAATAAAAAATTTGCGATTTGAATTCTCCTTGGTGATAAAACATGAGATACCATCATGGGAAGATGAATTCTGATAATCATGTTGTTGATCCGAGACTCTTATCCTAGTTGTGACAAGTTTGTCAAAACAACAAGTTTTGTGTGTGTGTTATTGCATTATATAATTCTATTTTACCAATATTCTAATGACGATAATGAGAATCGCAGGCACCACATTTCTGTGTATTGTAAGCCAGACATTAACATCTGAAGACCAAAAAGCTAAAGTAACCAGTTCATTAAGTAAACTTCTATCAGATAATAAATTAACTCTGATTTACATAAAGAACTTGTTATGTAATTAGGTTATTTCTTTAAAGATAAGAGACAGCTCAAATGTTCTGAATCACAGTCAGAAATAAGTGGTTTCTGAACAAGTTACTGTTTTCAGCCAACACATTTCTACCCAGTGTACCAGTTTTTCAGACGAACCAAAGGAATACAATTTGAATTTTTTTGATAGATATCCTTACATAATTTTGTAGTGATACAAACATAAAATTGAAGCAACCATATTATTATTGTTTGAATGGTTTTGGTGATCATTCTGATTCACACAATTGAAATGAATTTCACATTCTCTAACTTTTTTCACACCAGGCACAATAATGGAAATTTTTGGCTTTAATCAGATTTTTTCAATATAATAAGTTAAATAGAAAAATGAATACAGAACTGATGACTTTTGATGATAACTTTTAAGTTGAGATAAAGAAAATCATATTATATTTACACATCTATATATGGAAGGTTTTAAGTTTTCATTTAAAAACAATGGAAGAATGTAGACTTTTGTTTAAGTTTTGCTAGACTTTGATTTGATTACCCAGTAGATATCATTGGTTATTCATTGTTAAGATTGTATGTCTTTGTACCATCAAAATACAGTACATATACATACCCAAAATCAATAGAAGACAAAGAGGGGAGTTGGCACATTAGATATCAGTTTCATCAGAAGATCTGATTGTAGAAAAAAATGTATGTTGTCATTTTCTCATAAATATGAAATATTTTCCCTAAGTAAAATTATGTTCAAATGGTAGGACTCCTAACCTTTTGTTATGAGTACCCTCTTTTATTTCATTAACACAAGTATAGTTGTAAATTCTGCTTCTACAATCCATAATGATTTATAATATCCAGAAGAAGAATATGCAGATGGACTATTGTTATATTAAATCATGACAACCTTTTTTTAAATTCCAAGTCAGAGGTCAAAGGGAAAGGTCAATCTGCAGGTCATAAGAAAAAGTATCATTTTGCTTGTATTTGGAAAGCGGTCTTCCTCAGACTTGGACAGTTGCTTACCAATGGTGATTACAAGAAACATACTTAACTTAAGGGTAGAGGTGAAGGTCACAGAATGACATATAAACAACTTTGTAGAATTTTGTAGAGCAGTATTCTGTATTTACTGGATAGTATACTTAGTTAATAAGATTTTTGAATAAGCTATGAGCGCTTCATAAAAAATTTTGAATGAAGTAGCTTACTTAGAAAAAAAGGAAAATTGCTTTAAAATAGAAATGCAGTTATTACCCTTTAGAAAGAAATAACTAATGTGGTCCATGAAAAAGGAAATAAATTACTTAAATAGTGTAAAAGGAAGAATAATTATTGTATATAATTAAATTACTATTTCAATTGCTAAAAGTCTAAAATATGTTGATTTCTATCTTAAAGAAGCATCCATAGCTGTCTAATCTTGAGGATAATGTATACATCTGAAAGATAAACTTTGCTACTGTTCTTTCTGTTGTTTGTAAAGTAACTGTGGGAATAGAC